CAGTGTATAAAAAATTTTGAAATCTCAGAAACTAAATTCGTATAATATCCCAAACATAGAAGTGCCAGAGAAGATGATGGTTATATGAGGATGGTATGTGTGAATTTCAACTATATGTTCAGTATTAGAAAAAGATTACAAACCCACTAGATCATACTTGAATGTTATGAATGAAAAATTTTAGGAGCACCTGTCATAAGATACTACAATCCATGGAATATTTATAGTCCTCAAATATTACATTGACTTTAGACCCAGTTCCTGATAAATTTCCAGAGTGTGTGAATGTGAATCTTCTCTTTAGGGAAATCTTTCTGGTAATGGTTTAGTTTTCTAAAAACACTACACAAATACTTCATGAGATTTTATTAGCTATATCTGATGTATTCTTGTCCAATTTCCATCAAGAAAAATGAGTCTTCCTCTATTTCTAGCATATTGATTTTCTTAATCATAACTACTGAGTTAGTTAGGCTCTTGGGTTTCTTTCGAAGTAACCTCAGGAATTAGTTTCTGCCTCCACTCTGTTTTTAGAGACTGGTTCTCAGTATATATGAGGCTGTTATTGTTCTGATCATGTTGCCTATCTCAGTATTTATTCATTTTGCAGACTTCAAAGTCTCTTTGACTATATGCTTATGAACTGACTCCATAAACTACTGCTGCCTCTACTTCCCTGGCACTGATGGCCTTAGCAGGGTCATCAGTGAGTCTGTGCTGTCTGTGCTGAGTCTTAACTCTGAGGAACTCTCAGCAGTAATGAAGAAGACTCGTTTCCAGGACACTGTCCTCTTCTGCCTCTTTCTTTGTCCACTGAGCACAACACTTATTCCTTCATAGTTGTGCTTTTCCCTAAAAGGTGAATACCAGGGAGAACATGGGTTCGATTTTACAAATTGAAGGAACTTTGCTGGAGACTTTCCCCATCTCCATTCTAAAAACATAGCTGAACATTTCCATAGGTGATATAAGGCAGGCTGACCAAATTTATCAACCTTTCACTCAGCCATGTAATAATACCTATGTAACTACCTATATGTCTATTTATCTGTGTATATTTCCATCCATCATCTGTCAACTATCTATCATCACAAATCTACCATTTATCAGTCACTTATTTATCAATCACTGACCATCACCATTTCTCAGTCTATGTATCTACCCATCCTTTTATGCAGAAACCACCCTTTTCTTCCACAAAATGTAAAAGTTATATTAAAAGTAAGACAATACATTAGCTGAATAGGACAATAATAATAGTAAATAATATAGTGGACAGGGGAAAACCCATGAGGCCTCCATCCTTCAGATAAACTATAGTGACCAAGGAATTCTAAGCAAGAAAAGTCTTTTCCAGGGATTTTTCCAACTGCTTATCTGATACTAAATAGCCATAACAGAAAAATACATATAAGTCAAATTATACACACTGAACATGTTTCATTTATGTATTTAAGAAGATATGTGGATATACATATATGTATATTACAAGATTTAATGAAAAAGGAGGTTATGAATTTGAAAGAGAACAGGGAGGGATATATAGGAGGATTTATTTAATGGAGGAAATGGAAGAGGGAAATAATGTAATTATGATCTCAAAAAATAAAGGAAAAATATAAAGTAACAATAAAAATGATAAATAATGGAGTTTCAGCAAGTTATTGCTTGAGTATTTTTAAAAAAATAAATTATAGTGATGATGATCCACAATGTGATGTAGTTTTATTATTTTTAAATATAGATATTTAAAAGATAAATAGTGGATTATTACATTAAATGTAGTGATATAAACAGAGAGATGCAGTGATAGAATTTTGTTTGGTTAACTCTTTTTAAATTGTGTTTGGCAGAGACACCATATAATGTACTAATAATGAAACAAAAATAAGAATGTACTAATTTGTAAATTTATATAAATACAATATTTACAAACACATTCATACAGACAACCCCCATCTGTCATTTTACTCTGTATATAAAATTCATCGAAACTGTTCTTGGTGACACTCTCACAGTTTCTGGAAGAGACCATCATTACTAGAAACTGCTGTTCGATAAGAAATTCAAGTGTTTCCTACTTATGGTGGAAGGAGCAGGTTTAGTGGTTGGTTTAGGGAGGTACCTATTGTTTAAGTTGCTCTCTCCTATTAGACACAAATTCCATCCCTTTTTAGAAAACCTTGAACTTTGAAGTGGCAGCAGCAGCCCCCACTTCAACAACCTCACCCCAGAGTGTTTTGCATTTCTCTTTGTCTTCTTCCTCCTTTTTCTTACTGGGAAGGACTCATACTAGGAGGACCTTCTTGCTTTTACATTATGGTAAGATTATGTTTCTATTATTTTCTATTCTTAGAAATTTCCCTTAAAATGTTTCAATAGATGGACTAATTTACCTCCTCATTATTTCTTACCTCTAATGCTTGAGGTTTTCTGTTTTGTTTTGATTTCTAGGAGACTGAGGCTGTGGCTATTCTGGAATACTACATCTTTCCTGCAAACTGCATAGCATTTTTTGTTTGTTTGCTTGTTCATGTTATTGTTGTTAGACTGTAGCTTATCATACAGTCCAGGCTAGGTTTAAACTTGTCTTGCTCATGAGCCTCTTTAGTGCTGAGCTGTTTTTATCCATGTGCATCATCCCACCTCTTCCTGAAACATGGTTACATATTATCTTTGATTCTTCTGTTGGTTGTATTTTGAGGAATGGTATGATGGCTAGTCATTCGTCAGATTATCTAGGCACAGTCTAAGCAGTAATCCTTTATCTGCCACGATACCTCAGTTAGCTTAGTGTCACACCTCTTTTTTTTTCTTTTTATATTTCTCCATTCAAAAATTTACACTTCATCCCCTCCTCCCATTCCTCTCCTGCTCCCTCACTCACCATCCTCCATCCCCTCCCTTGTTAAGAGAGTCCTGTGGGAAGTCCAAGGCCCTCCCCCCTATATCCAGGCCTAGGAAGCTTTGCATGCAAAAAGACTAGGGTCCCAAGAAGTCAGTACATGCAGTAGAAACAAGTCCCAGTGCCTTTATCAATGGCTTCTCTTAGTCCTCATTGTCAGCCACATTCAGAGAGTCCAGTTTGATCACATGCTCGTTCAGTGCTGTTCCAGCTGGATTTGTTGAGCTCCCATTAGAACAGGCACACTGTCTCAGTGGGTGGACCAACCCCTTGCAGTCCTGACTTCCTTGTTTATCTACTCCCTCCTTCTGCTCTTCAACTGGACGGGACTCAGGATCCAGCAATACCACTCTTGGGAAAACACCCAAGAGATGCCCAATAATACTACAAAAGCATTTGTCCAACTATGTTCATAGCAGCATTATTTGTATTAAGCAGAACCTGGAAACCACCTAGATGCCCTCAATGAAATAATAGATAAAGAAAGTGTGGAATATATACACATTAGAGTACTTCCTGAATTTTGCATGCAAATGGATGGAAATAGAAAACACTATCCTGAATGAGATAACCCAGACCCAAAAAGATGAATATGGTATGTACTTACACATTAGTGGACTCTAGCCATAAACAAATAACATTAAACCTATAGTTCACACGCCTAGAGAAGTCAAATAACAAGGTGAACCCAAAGAAAAACATATATAGATCTTCCTGGAAATTGGAAGCAAACAAGATTGCTGAGCAAAAGTTGGGAGCATGGGGGTGGGGGTAGAGGTGAGGGTGTGGTTAGGAGAAGGGGAGAAGGGGAGAGAGAAGGGAGAAGGGAAGAAATGGGGAGAGCTTGGGAGACTGGGAGGATAGAGATGGAGGAGGGCAGATATAGGAGCTGGGAAGAAGATAATCTACATTAAGGGAACCATTTTAGGGCTGGCAAACGTCTTGGCTCTAGAGGGGATCTCAGGTGTCCACGGGGATGTCTCCAGCTAGGTCCTTGGGCAGCAGAGGAGAGGGTGCCTGAACTGGCCTTGCCCCACTATCACACTGATGATTATGTCAAACATCACCATAGAATCTTCGTCTGGTGAGGATGGAAATAGAGACAGAGACTCTGATCAGAGCAACGAACTGAGCTCCCGTGGCACAACTCTTGATGCAAAGTGGAGGAAACAGATAGTGTCTGAAACTCTTCGGTGTTGGGAGGGAAATCAGATACACTAGCAAAAGGAAACAGAGAGTTGTAAACGTTCTTCATAAAGAGACAAACCATTTATTTAATCTTTGTCTATTTTATAGGAGGAAATATCTATATTTCTTTTTCTCATAGATGCAACAGTCTCAAGTTTACAAATATTTATATTACTATTGCCTCAACTATACTTAAAAGTAATTTTATACAATGTCTCACCAGATGTCATAGTATCTTGCATGAAGTAGATACACAGTAAATGTTAAACATGAAATTAACAATGAAGATTTAGATAGAAATAAAATGTTTATTTATCGATGTATATTTATATGTACAGACATATGTGTGAATGACGACCTTATAAAAAGTAAAACCATTAGTATCCTCAGTATCAAGAATTTGAGGGATAGTGATTTTCGTCATTTATTAGTCACCTGACAATGTATAGAAATAATTTTGGAAAACTTATGTAAGACCTTTTATAGAGAACATTTGTGTTGTAGGATCGACTTATTTTATATGTGAGTCCAAATTTTTGTTTCCTGACATAATTATGTTTCTATAATATTAGTGATCCAGAAAAAATGTACTCAGACTAAAGACTGTAGATGAGACAAAACAAAACAAATTAATATAATTTTATTTTCATGGCTGCCTGTAGGTAGTCAATGTTTTCTTCATTGGCAACTACAGAAGACACTTCGGGCAAAGAACATCTGGATGAAGTGCAGCTGGGCTATCTTCAACAAAGCTTTTTCTGGAAAAAAAACAACCCAGCTTATTAGTAAATGTTGGATCTTTGACTTTGGATATGAGAGTTTATGTAAGTGATTATGATGAGAATCAGACACAGAGTTTTAAAGATTGCATTGTCACATCGTCATTATTGCAGAAGAAATCAGCATCATGGAAGTGATAAGCGCTATCCTACATGCCACGTTGATAACTACTGTAAATGTGGAATTCATCATAGGAAGTTTAGGAAATGCATTCATAGCAGTGGTGAACATTGTGGACTGGGTGAAGAGAGGAAAGATCTCTTCTGTGGATCAGATCCTCACTGCTCTGGCCATCTCCAGAACTGCTTTTTTGTTTTCATTGATCACAACTTTGTTTGTGGCATTTCTGAAACCAGCTACAATGACAATTAGAACATTATTGAAAATGCATACTATTTCCTGGACGGTATGCAATCATTTCAGTATCTGGTTTGCTACATGCCTCAGCAGTTTTTATTTTCTCAAGATAGCCAATTTCACAAATTCCATTTTTCTTACACTCAAATGGAAAGCAAAAAAAGTGGTATCAATAACACTGGTGGTGTCTCTGATAATCTTGTTTATAAACATTATAATCATAAATATACTCATCGATGGACCTAAAGTAAACACACCTTACAGATCTAGTTCAAATAACACTGCAGAAGTTTATGTGCTCATTTTACTCATCAACACTATGTTCACATTCATCCCCTTCACCATGACCCTGATTACTTTCCTCCTGCTCATCTTTTCCCTGTGGAGACATTTGAAGAACATGCAGTATAATGCCAAAGGATTCCGCGACGTCAGCACCACAGCCCATGTAAAGTCCCTGCAAAGTGTGGTCACCTTCCTGGTACTATATACTGTTTTTTTTATGTCACTTCTTTTACAGACTTGGAATATTAACTCTCTTCAAAAAAATCTTATGGTATTGTTTTTATGGAGCACAGCAATAGCTTTTCCCTCAGGACACTCATGTGCCTTGATTCTGGGAAATAGTAAGCTAAGGCAGGCCTCTCTTTCAGTGCTGTGGTGGCTGAGGTGTAGGTACAAATATACAAACAATTAAGGTACTTAAAATATCTCAGGTGTCCTCTTTCACATTCTAAAGAAAAATCAGTTCCTAATAGCTAGACTAGAAAGGAATCAGGTTTATGAAACACAGAAGTCATGAGCCTTCAGGCAAAGAATTCATTAGAGGAGAAGATAGAGAGCACTGTTGTCTGTGATTAGACAGGCAGCAATGCAGGGTATAAGGATAAGATTCTATCTGTCACAGAGATCAGGATGTTTTTACAGTCTCTTGTGGGAGAATACGAAATGGAGAAGAAGTTATTCTATGAGGAAATAGACACAAGGTTAGCAGAGATCATCTAACCAGAGATGGAAACAGTATGTGTTTTGGTAGTCTGGCTACATCAGGTTATTCAGAGGGGCCATGGACAGTCCTGGCAAGAGGCCTTTGCAAGTACAAATATAATGCTTAGTATATAATATAACAGCGGTTAGTTTTTCTGTCTTTTGCCCTTTCTTTAAGGGTCTTGCTGTCTGGAAAAGTCACAGGGAGTGAGGAGTACTGTTGAAGTTCTGGAGGAATGAAAGAGAGACTGCAGGATGGGGGTTGAAGTTGATGATGTGACAGTACCGAAAGGGAATAGAGACTGAAGGAATGTGGGTGAATCTAATGATAAGCAATGCTTCTATGTGTAAATTTGTACTTATCAAATATTTTTCAGTTGTTTGTAACTTTATGCATTCTAGAAAATGCTATGTAGATAAAGTACTATCCAGACACAGTCCAAGTTTGCAGGAAAGGTATAAACATGCATATTTCCATAAAAGATGTGCATTAGGACCACTTATGTATAAAAACAGATATCAGTGTAAGTTGATTATCAATAGCTATTTCTTTAAAATTTTAAAAATGATTCATTACAAATATATGAGATGTGTCTATACACAAACAAGAGAGGTGTGAATAATGCAAAATTATTTCATTCTGTGGCAAAAGAATGAATTCATAACCTAGAAAAATGTCAAGAAATTGAGTCCATAGTATAAGATTGCACATCATATATTATCCAATGATTCAAGTATAAGATCAATTTAGAAAATTAAACAAACAAACAAACAAGTAAAAAAAAATTCTGGGCTACTAGCAAAATGCCTCCACATGCTCATTTATATCCTTTCTCCTTTGGTTGTGTAGGGGAGATGGTATTAATGCTACTGTCTTGTCCTCTGTCAGTCACACACCACCATGAAGGATAGCCACTGATTGTAAATATTTCTTTATAAAATAAAAACATTTTCAGTTTATTGCAGTTTCATACCTTAAACATTTACCTAAATTATCCCAGTGTAGTACAAACTTGAGAGTCAGAAATTGAGATAAAGACCTGATAAATCCAAGGAAGAGCAGTGAGTCGATTGGTTGACCCTCTGCCATATTTTCCCTAACCCACCAGCCCTGGAAATCTCCCCAGAATGCCTATTTTCCTGTCTGCCTCTAGTAGTTCTCCCTAGTGGTTCAACAACTCTATGGCTGATCCTAGTCAGTGATTACATGATCCCATCCTTTGATTCAGCTAGGTTTTATTGACTCAGTGGAATGTCCACAACATTTCCTACTTTTTGTCTAAATGTAAAGGAAAAGTTTCAGCTCTAAAATACTAAAACATTATACAATAAGAATACTTATCAATTAAGAGATACATTCAAAATGTCTAGTATATTAGTATTGGTGAAACCAGAGAAAACATTCTCTATCTATCTATCTATCATCTATCTATCTATCTATCTATCTATCTATCTATCTATCTATCTATC